CCCCCGCCACCAAGGACCAGTCCCTGACAAGGCTTCACCCCCAGGCCAGCACACCATACCTCTGCCAGCTCCCTTGGGCCCCCGCCCCACCCTGCCACCCCACAAAGGGAACAGCTCTCACCTGGGGCTGTGGGTGCCTCCTGCGCCCTGCCCCCACCTAGCGCGGCGTCCTCTCCTGGCAGGGCTCTTTGTCTCCGTCCTCATCTTGTCCCTGGTGTTTGCCAGCCGGCTCCGCCCCGCCAGCCGGGCCCCCCTGCTCTTCCGGCCCGATACCAACATCCAGGTGCTGCTGGATCTCAAGTACAACCTGAGCGCTGAGGGCATATCGTGCATCACCTGTTCAGGTGAGAGTTCCGTCGGGGTGTCCCCTGTGGCTCCCTGCTCTCTTTGGAGTTTCGGGTCTCCAAGACTGTGAGCCTGAGAGATGTGACGTGTCCAGGCTGTCCATCACTGTGCAACCTCAGCAAATCGCTGAGCCTGAGTGTTTCCGCGTTTCCTGAAACAGGTATTTACTGGGTGCTGGGGAGACCGCAGTGGGCAGGACAGGCTTCCTGAACTCAGGGAGTTCATTCGCCTGCCAGGGGCCAGCGTTGTAATAGTGGATCTGAGCTGTGGTGGAGGAAGAACAGGGCACCTGGGGAGCTCGAGAGAGAAGAGAAGAGAGGTGGGCAAGACCAGGGCCAAGTCTGAGAGAGGCAGCCCCAGGAGCTAAGGCCAACCAGGTAGGTGGGGCCAGGGTCTGGAGGGCTAGAGCGAGGAGTCTGCATTTTATTCTAATTGGCAGGGGGAGCTAGTGGAGGGTTTTGAGCAGAGTAGGGCTGTGATGGAGGGCGCTGTGTGGAGGTGGACGGTAGGGCCAGGGTGCAAGCTGGCTGGGAGACCAGGTAGGAGGCTGGTGCCCTCATCTGAACTTGAGATGGTGGGCCTGAGGCCAGCGTGCTTATGGGGGCAGTGGAGCCACGAGGTTTTTAGGAAGTGAAAGCCATAGGATTTGGGGATGGAGTTGGTGTCAGGGATGAGCAAAGAGATGAGTTAAAGATGTCTCCTCACCTTAGATGTAGTCTGGTCCAGAGGAGAGCCTGAGGTCAGGGTTGGGGGCAGGGGAAGTTGGCCAGTCGGTTAGAACCAAAGGAGAAGATGCTTGGGCAAGTGCTTCCTGCTCCTAGGAGAGGATCCGCTGACCGCTCTAATTGCCTTCGTTTAATTAGGGCGGTGTCCATATTAACTTGGCCTTCCCCTTGGTATTGGCATTAGCCAAATGCATGATAATTGAGTGCGGCTCAGGGAGGTGCCTGAAGAGCCCCTCCTAAATTGGAGCCAACACCCTCCCCCCCACTCCCGCCACATCCCCGGCTCCTCTCCTGTCCCCCGCCCCCGGGCACATGCATCAAACTCCATTACTACTGCTGCTATGAGGCCACCTGCCATCCCTCAGGGCCCGGAGTCAAAAAGCCACATCCACTACCATTTCACAGATGGACAAAACCCAGGATAGTGCCGAAACTCCTGGAATCATCTGGAGAAGGGCCAGGATGCCGGCCCAAGTCCAGCCCCCAGCCCCTTGTAGCTCTCAGCATTCTGAACTGCCTCTCAGAGGGACCTGTTCATGTTGTCCCAAAAAGGGCTTGCAGGGCCAATGAGACTGGATCTGAATGAGGCTCTGCCTCTCACTTCCTTTACGGGTCACGGCACCTCCCTGAACCTCTGCTTTCTCCTTTGTCAAGCGGGGTTAATGATAGCGACCTTCTAGAATTATTGTGAAGATTGCATCTTTGAAGGTGTCAAATTTCTCTCATTAGAAAACAACAAAGAAAACAGAAAATTCATCCGCAGTGGTTGAGGCAAAACGAGACAGTCCCCTGTCATCTGTGCTAGTTGATGATGTTCCTTTTCTAATTGTTCCCACTAATTGAGCATTTATCACGAACCAGACATGTAGCCAAGTGCACGAGATGCAGCACCCCGTCTGGTCCTTCCACCACCCTCTGGAGATTCGGGGTCACCCCGTTTGCCAGAGCAGGGACGTGAGGCGTGGCGAGGAGGACGAGGGAATGCGTCCGCATGTCTTTCTCTGGGTGGAGCTGACAGGTGCCTTTCTTTCGCCTTAAGATTCCTGCGAAATCAGGGGCGCCTGAGTGGCTGAGTCGGTTAAGCATCCGACTTTGGCTCAGGTCACGATCTCGCAGTTCAGGAGCCCGAGCCCCCACGTTGGGCTCTGCGCTGACAGCTTGGAGCCTGGAGCCTGCTTCGGATTCTGTGTCTCCCTCTTTCTCTCTGCCCCTCCCCTGCTAGAACTGTGTGTGTCTGTCTTTCTCTCTCAAAAAAAATAAACAAAAAAAAATTTTAAATAAAGATTCCTGCAAATTCGATATTTGGCACTTTTTCAGTTCCATCCTGTTTCTTTCAGACCCCTGACACCCCTCCCCCTAAGCTGAGAGCCCTGAGGCCCATGTCCCTGGGGCTGTTATCCATCCCAGTCTCTGCCCTCCCCTGCCAGGCTCAGCCAGGGAGGCCCTGTGTCCCTAATGACGTGTGGGGGGGGGGGCAGGTCTGTTCCAGGAGAAGCCCCACAGCCTGCAGAACAACATCCGGACGTCCCTGGAGAAGAAGAAGCGGGGCTCAGGGGTCTCCTGGGCCAGCCGGCCTGAGGCCACCCCACAGGGTAAGTGGGGCATGTGTTCTGGCTGGGGTGGGGGCTCTGGGGGATCCTGCCTGATGCTGGGGTGTGGAGGTCCTGTGGAGATAGATGACATTCATTCCCTGGGTCTCCTGGGAGAACAACAGTCTGTGTTCTTGGGGTCACTGAGGAGGGGTTGGGTTGTGAGGGGGGGGTGACCTCAGGGCCCCTCCTGCCAGCACCACAGCCAGGCTCTGGTGCCCTAGGAACCCGCCGTGCACCAGATCCACCCTGAGTGTCTGGGGGAGGACAGGGGTGTCCTGAGCCCTGGAGGGTGGCTCATCCCTGCCCGGGTCTCTGGGACACGTGTAGGAATCAGCCCCCACCCTGGGGCAGTTTTGTGTGTCCTTGTCATCCCCTGGCTGTCGTCACCCCTCTGTGCCTACCACTGTCACTCCCAGCTCTGGCCCCACCGCTCAGCCTGCGCCCCGCCCTGGGTGGCACTGCCCACATTGCTTGCACCTCGTCACCACGATCCGTACCATCGCCGTCACTCCCTCCACCTATGCCGCCACCCCATCCTGGTGACCACTGCCATCTCCCTTTCATCTGTGCTACCATCCCATCCCCGCGTCCACCACCAGCACCCCCAGCTTGCCGTGGGCTCGGTCCAATAGAGAGGCTCAGAGCCAGCATTCAGAGCTGAGCCCTGATGAGGAACAGAGAGCAGGCTGCTCTGGGGTCAGGGAAGCCAGTCAGGGTGACTGTCCACCCCTCCTCCATCCTTCGTTTGTCTCCCAGACTCCCCAGGCACCGTGTATGTCTCCAAGGTGAAGAGTAAGGGTCACCCAGCCGTGTACAGGTTCTCCCTCAACGCCAGCCTGCCTGCCCCTTGGCAGATCGTGTCCCCCGGGGACGGGGAGGTGCCCTCCTTTCAGGTGAGTCCGGGCTGCCGGGACTTGAACCGCTGCTGCCGAGGAAGGTGGCCCTCGACGCCGCACTGGCGGGCACTGGCCATGTAGGGAGGGGGAGGCGGGGTCTGCGAGGATGGAGCTGCTACAGGAGATGAGGACCCTCTCCCAGCCAGGTCTGCGGCACCTACAGAGCGGGGACAGCATGGGCTCCCAAGTCAGCCAGACCTGGGTTCGAGTCCTGGCTCTGCCATCTGTAGTCTGGGTGTCTTCGGGCAGCTTACTTAATCTCTGAGCCTCAGTTTCTTCATCTGTGAAACGGGGTGTGTAAAGCACAGCCAGGGTCGGAGGTCCATGAAGTGAGGCCTGCATGGCATGTAGCACCTAAGACACAGCAAGTGCTGCTTGGCAAGTTACATGTGGTTCTTGGCAGCCGCTCCTGCACCCCAGCAAAGAGCCTCTGAGGGCCAACCAGGCCCTGTCAGGAGTCATCTGTGTTTCTCTGACATGTTACACCCTCTGGGTGACATAGTTACCTACATCAGTTCCTGTGTTCAGGCTTTATATTTCCATTTGAAAGATGCCTGTGGCGTTTCCTGACCCTGAGCCTTTGCACTGCTGTTCCCACTGCCCAGAAAGCTTTCCTTCCAGCTTAATGCATGGCAGGCCCCTCACTGACGCCTCAGCATAACTGTCACCTCCTCACAGGGCCCTGTGCCCCCGCGCACTTCTCACTCGGTTCACCCTCCTCCTCCCCTGCCCGTTTATCCGTGTCTTATCATCCTGACTCTTTAATTCACAGCCCCTGCAAGAACCCAAAGCCATGGTGATCGGCAGCCCCCCGGGAGGCAGGGACCAAGCCCATGTTGCTGACTACTGTGTGTTCAGGGCCTGGCACACAGTAGGTGCTCAGCTGCAGAAAAGGGCTGAGGCTCAGACAGGGAGGGAAGGATTTGCCCAATGTGCAGACTCGAACCCAGGCCTCCTGAGCCTCTGTCCCCAGCTGTGGGCGCGGGGACGGGGTGGGACCAGCCTCGGGGGGAGGGCGCGGAGCCTGAGGCCGGGCCCAGGCCGAGGCAGCCCCCCGGAGTCACGTGTCTTGTCTCTGTCGCTCCACTGCCTAGGTGTATAGAGCGCCTTTGGGTAACTTCACCAAGAAGCTGACCGCTTGTATGTCTACAGTAGGGCTGCTCCAGGCGGCGAGCCCCTCCCGCAAGTGGATGGTGACAACCTTGGCCTGTGACGCCAAGCGGGGCTGGAAGTTTGACTTCAGCTTCTACGCGGCCGCCAAGGAGCAGCAGCACACCCGGTAACAGAGCATCGCGGATAAGCCGGTGTCCGCCAGCCCGGCCCCCTTCTCGCCAGGGATGTCAGCAGACGCCTTTAGGAAACCCCTGTCCGCGTGCACACACGCGTTCAGGTGGTTCTGTGCCCGGGACCGGGGCATGGGGAACGCGGGCGCAGAGGACGGCCCGTGACCTGCTCTGCCGCTCTGCCTCGTGCTGGCTCTGCAGCTCCTTCGCGAACCTCATGTGCTGGCCTCTTTCCAGGGTTCAGGTGTCTACTCAGATGCCCCCCCTGGGGAGAGG